ATTTCTGACAGAGGTGCTGAAATACTATTGTAAGTGAGGTTCCAACCCGAATAATCCGTGACATTTCTTGGTGTTGTACATGGTTGTGGTCGGATTTTATTTTAGCGCTAGAAAAAGCAAACGCCTACATCAGTGCACTGCGTTTACTTTTTTTGAGGGGAATAAGAGCAATGTCAAGAAGTTGTTAGAGAATTGCTTTCCAAGGCATTCCCATTCTAGTATATTTCCAGGTATCGGGCTTGATAGCTGTGTGGTACCACTTCGACATAAAGGATTGAATCTTGTTCAAACTACCGATTTTTTCTATCCGTTGGTTGATGATCCTTATCTAATGGTATCCTATTGAAGTACATAATTCTGTTTTTTTACATTTATCAGGTTTTCAATTCGAATCAATTCCCCTTAGTTCAGGGAAGAGTGACATGCGCTAATGTGCTGAGTGACCTGTATGCGATGGGCATTGTCGACTGTGACAACATGCTGATGTTGCTCGGAGTTGCTGTGGAGCTCAGCGAGAAGGAACGCGACATAATCATTTCTATGTTCATCAGAGGGTTTAAGGTATGCACCGAATTTTAGAACACTTTAGTAAACGAACCTGGATTGTGTTCGAATTTTTTCTATCCACGGGCCTGTTTTAGTTTCGACTTAAATGTGCCTTTCCGTCAGTAATATGGTGGACCGAAGTGTTTTTCACAAGTGTGTCGTTACTTGTTCGTGCGTTCGCTGTTGTCGAGGATTTCATAATTTTTAAAAGTTGTCAAAGAGGTGATTCACAATTCGAAGGGAACAAACCTACAACATAAAAATGGGTCTCACATTCAAATATATTCCACCTAATCGGGCAGGAGTGGTATAGTGGCAAGTAGCGCTGTTTACCTCATATACGACTCGGGTATTGAATTCTCTGATCTGGGGCCGTATGCTATCCTCCCCGAAGGGGTTGGGGGACGAAAAGTCCTTTAAATTTTCTGTCTTCCCATCTGGGATTGCCCTGATAAAGGACCTACATTTAATGTATGTATGTAGGTAAAAGTAAACATGTCAAAACAAATAAATTTAAAGGAACTTTTGGATCACTCAGCTTCGGGGAAGCATAGCATACGGACCCTGGGTTTACGGACTACTTGATTTTTCCTCAATGGTCCTGCCGCGATGGCTAGAGCACAGACGATTAGAGAACGGGTGAATGCCCTAGGACTAAGCCTTGGAGAGGAGAGGGACCCGCGAGAGAGCGCAGAGGCGGTTTAAAGGGCTGAGTTCAAGTAGTCCGTCAACCGATGCGTGGTACGACGAAAAGGCATTGATCAATGCCAAATGCTCTATCCTTGATCCATCCTGTACCTTGCCTAATCGCTACAGGAAGGGAATTCATTGAGTTGAACATCCCGTTACCCGGTGATGGATGTGGGCTGCAACGACTTATCTGTTCGACGTGAATGTGCTCAGGTCACCAAGTAATTGCTATCATAACTAGTGAAAACCTTGTTCTACCTTGGGCTCACAGATTTTACATACGTGATTCACTTGATTCTTTTGTACATTCAGTTTTTACTGGAGACTCAAGAACTTCTTTGTTCATCATATTCCTTCACTTTTTCGTCTATTTAAATGCCAACTTCACCTCCATTACTTCTTTGTTTACTGCTTCCTCGATGCGCACAAATCACACCTTTTTGTTTGATTAT